AACTTATAACAAGATCAAAATGGAGACATACGTATCTTTAATCCTTTTGCTTTACTTGGATAATCTTAAGGAGGAACTTCTAAACATTAATGATGAGAAACATGAAAGCAAATGTTCTAAGTTAGAGAGTAAAGAAAAAAAAACCAAGAATAAAATATCAATTGAGGATTGTGTTCCGTATAACGTGAATAGTGCCTTTTTATAACAAGTTAGGATTTTAAACAAGAAGAACGACAAACCCAACCAATAGATTAGGAATTTTAAGCCGTAGCTTAAGAGAGTAACTAAGACAATGTCCAAGACCCGGAAAGTATTTAAAATGCCTAAAGTAATTAATGTTTGGTCTAATCTAGAATGCTCATGGAGTGGGCAATAAAACCACTATTGATTACATTAAATTACTCATAAGACAATATAATATAATGATTATGGTGATTTTAGAACCTTAAATGGATGGGATGAACTGTTAAAGATTTGAAATACCTACACTTTATGCATCAAAATCCTATCGGTAATTATATTTGAATCTTATGGAATGATTAAGTAGAATTAACTTTTTGAAGCTAGTAATCAAAGTCTTATAGTAAGCTCGCAAAATGTTATGACTAGCCGGAGACATTATGCTCTTTTGTTTATGCTAATATATTAAATTTGAAAGATAAGAGCTATGAAATGATTTAATTCATCTTGCCCTTTCGGTTCATGGACCTTGGCTTATGGGTGGGGATTCTAACATCATATCAAACATCAATGAAAAGATTTAGAATGCACGATTTGATTTTTTTCAGTATGGATGATTTTAATAATTATTATATTTAGATAGGTAGAGATGATTTTGGTTTTCAAGATAGTGAATTCACATTACATGATAACCAAAATGATGGTGCTAAAATTTAGAAAGGCTGAATTATATTTTAGTTAATGGAAATTTTAAGGTCGATCTTCATAGTATTTCAATGTCCCATGTAGCTAGACACATGTTTGATCACTCCCCACTTCTTCTAAAATTTTCTTATCCTATGAAAGGATATAAAGCTTTTAGATTTCATAAGATGTGATAGGATAATTGTGATTTCATTCTTTTCTTGGCCTTCATTTGGAATGTGAATTTTGACGGTAGTCGATGTGCGTTATTCATAAAAAATTGAAACACATCCAAAGACACTAAAAAAATTAGAATTAAGAAGTGTTTGCTAGTATCAAGAGGAGAATAGAGGCAACCCAATATGAGATTATTAGACTAGATAATGATTTGATTAACCATTGGAATGATCAATCATTTTCCCTATTAAAAGGATTAAAGGCTAAATTAAATCAATTGATTAAATAAGAGGTAGATATGCTCCAACAACAAGCTATGGTCAAATGGATCACACATGAAGAATGAAATATCGTATTTTTTATATGCGTGTATTAAAAATAATATAAAAATGTCAAAATTTAAAATTATACTAAACAATGGCACTTTTTTTATGACATTAATATTATAGAAAATATGGTTGTTGATTATTTTGGGAATTTTTTACAACAAATCTTTGTATTCATAACTCTTTATTTGAAGACCTAGGCAAAATGGTCACCGATATACATAATTATTTTTTTACAATTGTGCTCATTTAAAAAAAGATTTAGGAGCTAGTAAAGGTTTAGATCCTTCTAATGCTTCGGTTAGCGTTGGTTTATAAGACACTTTTATCAAGGGGTTGAGAATTATAACACATAATGTTATCCTTGATGTTCTAAACTTTTTAAATGGGGATATATTCCTAAAGGCTTGCCTTCTTTCGTTTTAGTTATTATCCCCGAAGTTCATAATCCCACATCTTAAAGTGATTTACTGCCTTATTAGCTTGTCCATGTTTGCTTGTAAAATTATGTCTAAGGTCCTTATTAATAGGTTGGCTACAATGCTTTTTGATTTTGTTTCACATGAACAAAAAGGTTTTGTTCTCAAAAAACGATGACTCGAAGTGAATAAAAAAATCAAAGAGGATAATTTTATATTTAAATTTAACTTGTCCAAATAGTATGATATGATTGAATGGTCTTTTTTATCGAGACTATGAGAGAAATAAGTTTTTTCTCATGACTAGTGTGATTTGGTTTACGGATGCATAAATAATGTGTGGTATTTGGTAAGGATTCAAGGTCAAAATTTTGGCTTTTTTTCAAATCAAGTAAAGGGGTGAGATAAGAAGATCATTTATCCTCTATTCTTTTCATTATTGCCTAACGGATGTTATCCTTTAATCTACATAGAGAAGTACTAGATGGTCATATCTATTCTTATCGTGTAGAAAGAGGAAATATCTTGATTTCTCACCTATTTTATGTTGATGATATGTTAATATTTACAAATAGAGAGAAACGATCTTTATTTATCCTAAAAAAATAAAATCCGAAATACGTATGAAGAAGCTATGGGGTCGATTGATTAATGTGGTTAATAGTGGTTTTTATGCCCTAAAATGTCTATATAGGAAAAAGAGTCGTTAGGATTTAGAAGTAGACATGATGTTCTCAACATCAATTTCCTATGAAATATTTAAAAATTCCTATATTTAATGGCGGGATAAAAAGACAAGTATTTCCACGAGCTTAAGATGAAATTAACTAATCCGGTGAAAGGATGGAAAGCTAAGTTATTATCTTTTGGAGCTAAAATTACCTTGATCAAATCAGTTTTAAGCAACATTTCGATTTATATAGTGCTAACTATCCCTATCCCAAATAATTCAATTAAACGAATGAAATAGATCATGGCTGAATTTTTATGGAGTTTAGTTAGTGAAACAAGATACCATTGGGTGTCAAGGGATAAGATTTGCAAACCAATAGATGTAAGAGGTTTAGGTATTGGAAGTTTTTCTCAAGTCATGAAAGCCCTTTGAGCAAAACTAGTTTGGGCATTTCTTGAAGAAAAAAAGGTTTATGAGCTTTTTTTGTGACAATAAATATATGGAAATCCTCAATCCATTCTCAAATCTAGGTTGCGTAATCACTCCTCTCATATTTGGAAAGCTCGGTTAAACACATAGGGAAAATTATAGAGGGTAATACTTGGATAATAGGTAGATAGGATATTCCTTTTTGGACATCAAATTGGCGTGGCACTTTTTCTTTCATCTCCTCTTCCTCCGGATAAGCATCTTATTATCAAGACTCGCTCTAGACCATATTAAGGAACTTATAGATTTCATCGCTCTCTACATTAACAAAAGGTTAGAGACATACAATTATCGGATAATGAAGAAGAAAAATTAATTTTTATTCTAACTAATTTTTAGAAATTTGAAACAAAAGCTTATTGGGATTATCGAAACAAAATGACCCCCGAAGTCTCTTAGTATAAAAAAGTTTGGTTTAAGTGGATTCCTATTAGAGTTGGTGGATTTATTTATAAATGGATTAACAATGCCATCCTCATTGACTCTAGGTTTTAAGATAAAAATATTTATTTGATGTCTATATGTCACCGTTGCATTCAAGGGTAACGAGAATCTATTAGCCATTTGTCAATCTTCTCCGAGATGGCTTCTCATACATGAAATTTTTTCGCAGAATATTAGCAAAACTGATTTTTCACGAGCTATATTTCATGCTTTTTCCACTCTTAGATTCATATGGGTTCAAGTAGATCCCAAAATATGTACGTGTCAAATTGTCGCTTATTTCTTTGATCTTTGGGAAATGTAGCAAAATAGATGTAAAACTAAATTTGAAGGTATCCCAATATCTTTAAAAATGGTGATTAAAAAAATTAAGTCTAATTTGATATATATATGCTCGGTTTATCAAGCAAAAAGAGTTTCGTATACAATAGGTTTAAACATAATTTAGATGCTAAACCTCACCGTCATCCATCCTAGATTTAAAAGAGGTGTTTGGTTGAAGTGGGATCCTCCTCCTTTTGCAAAATTTAAATTAAACACGGATGGTTTAAGAATGGATGGATTTTGCTCTAACAAGGGGTTATAAGGAACAATCAAGTGCGGGTTTTAGTGTGTTTTTCTACTTCTTATGGTGTAGGGGGTAATATGAAAGTAGAAATCTATTCCCATAGTCTAAAGTTGTGTAAGGAGTTATATATCGATAATGTGTTAGCGAAATTAGATTCTCTTGTTGCTATAGATGCTATAAATAATAATATTCAAGCATTTTGGAAATTTGTTCATATTCTTAGACGAGTGTCATGCTTTAAAGGAAATGCATGTTACCGACCATGTTCTATGTCGGAAAATTTGATCGCCGATAGGTTGCTAACTTGGCCTATTCCCATGAATTTAAGATCACATATAACCATATTAGAGAGCTACATTTTTTAAGTTCGTAACGCTCATACACATGATATTTTTTATATCTACAGTTATATACATCAATTTTGCTTTGTATGCATTTTTTTGAGCTTCTTTATTCTCTTAATATGTTGAGTGAAGCGAAATTACTTATTTATGTATTGGATATTAATTTTGTATGTTGTTTGCATTATAAGTGAGTTTTTCCTTTCCCCCGTCTATGGGTTAAGTCGGATTGCATTTTTGTTTTATGTTTTAGGAGACATGCTTTCCTGTCCCTCTTGTAGGTTAAGGTTGGGTTGGTTTCTCCCTTTCTTGTACTCTACTTTGGTTATTAATAAATTTTTTGTAGGACCCTTGGCCTCTGTTTCTATTAAAAAATAAAAATAAAAATGTATAATTAAATAATGATAATACTTTCAAGAAATTGCCATCTGCGTTTACGCAAAACTTGAACGATACACGTGCGAAACTCTCCCGAATATACGAGTGAGAGAGAAGGAGAGAGTTCTTCGTCCTCATAGTCTTGATCTCGCTCGTCCTGCCTCGTATTCTTTGCTTAGGGTTTTGACAATGGAAAGACATAGAGGAGACCATCACCGGAATCACGAGCATCAACATTCCAATTTTCACCAGCACCACACCGACCAGAACCAATTCAACAACCACAGCCACAGCCATTACAATTACGATTCTAATCAGCAGATGAGTGGTGAAGTTAACGAGCCATTTAGCGGCGGAGGATTCCGCTTCAATGGCCGCAAAAGAGGACGATTCCATTCTCCAGGTATTTTTCCTCTTTTTCTCTTTAACTCATGCAAAGTCACTCTCTTCAATAATTCCAGTATGTTATGTCTCGATGCCATTCTTTTATGAAATTGCTTTTCCTTTTTTTTTTTTTTCCCCACAAATGAATCTGTATTATTTTCCCGCCTTTACTCTATGTTTATTTTTCAGATTATAGCGATGGTGGGATCATGGCAAAACTTTATATCGCGCCAATTCCAAGAACAACGACTGAAGAAAATGTAAGTGCTTATTCCATTTCAGGCATCAAAGTCCTTTTGCTTTTGCTTTTGGAAACACAAATGACTAGTGTGTGTTGTTCCTGTGCACTGAAGACGAAATTTGCACTACATAGGCTCTAAGCAGCAAGCACATTGCATTTTGTGACTTTGGCAGTATATAATATTGCAGTTAGTGTGACATCTATACTGCTTAGAACTATTTTTATTTTTATTTTCTTAATTTCAGGTGCTGTTCCTTTTGGTGTTTCATGTCTCACTTAACTTTTAGGTAATTATTCTTTGCTAGATCCGCTCTTTGTTTGAAGAGCATGGAAGTGTTGTTGAGGTTGTTTTTCCCTGGGATAAGCGGACTGGGCAACAACAAGGTACTAGAAAGTTTTACATGGCAGCTTTTACGAATTTTTATTTTGTGTCAATGTCTCTGTTGAGGGTCTGAATGGAGCGCCAGTAGGCTTATGTCATACTTTTGTAAGTTCGGTGATAATTTGTTAGTCCATAAATGACTCTTCTCCAATATTTTGAGAGGGATTTTAATTTACAACTTTTTAGAGGTGGTTATGCTACCAATTAGGCTATGTGTTGTCCATGATCAGGTACAGTTGGTTGATTTAGAAGAACAGCTAGGAAATTTGAAAGTGTACAAGACTGCATATATATGGATGTCTATGTATATTTACATGCTTACCTTTTTTTTTTTTTTTTTTTATCCAAACAAAGGCTTTTTGTGTCAAAGTTATCATGTCAGGGTTGTGCGAATGACATTTCAATGTGTTGATTATACCACTGTGAGAAAACAAGTCTCCAAAAGTTTTAATATGGTAGGAATCTCGATTAGTTGGTGTTGGGAGTCTCCACAAGTATCTGTTACATGGGCAATCCTCACAGTTAACACAGGGAAAGCAAACAAACAAGAATTAAATCTGTGAAAGCTTGGTGTTATTCTCAGGTTTGAGCTGATTACGGGGAAAACTATGGAGGCATACTTGTGGGTGTTGTTAGTGGCACAAAAATGGGGACCTCTATGTCTTCATATGCTAGTTGGTTGCCATTAGGTTATGATAATAAATGATTCTTAGGATGGATGGGTTAGTTAGTGAAGTTGATATTCCATTTAAAACAGTAAACATGTGCAGCCTGGGTCTCCTGTCTCAGGGGAGCTAGTTTTGGAACCTATAAATGTTTAGAACCCACTAATAATGCTTTCCTTTTCTGGTTGATCTGAAGATATTTATTTTCTAAATTGAGGATATCTGTTGAATGTGTTTTTCTGTTTCCATGTATTTGTGATTTTCATGACTATTTAAGTTTGTTATTGTACTTTCTCGGGAAACTGTTTTTGGATTCCTACCCTTTTCTCCTATTCCTATAAATTGTAGGGAAGTTCTTGGGGTTTAGATGTTTGCTCCTGGCATTTAGAGAGAAATAGAAATACTGACTCAAAACTTGATGGTGTCGGTGCTTAAAGTTCAGGTGGTATAAGGTAGGTGGGAAGAAGTTTAAACCTTACCAATCAAGATGGAAACAAGGTTTGAAATTTCTTCAACAGATGCTGTATTTGCCACTAATACAACTATTTGTACAACACTAGATGCGTAGTTTTTCTACATCCAGTGCCAAGTATTTTTAGTTATGGAAAATTTATGTGTTGCTGTCATGTTGCTTCACATCTTTCACTAAGCCATCCCAAGTACCTTCAATTATAACTCATGGTAGTGCTCTAGTCCGCGTTCTATCACGTGGACTGATCTGTGCCATCTTATGTGTATACTAAGCTGCTTTTGCATTAATTTGAGAAATGCTATCTCAATCATTATAGTTTCGGTACCTGATTATATGAAGACATTTAAGCAGGGAAAACATCAAAGCATTAAAAAAGTAGATTGTCATTGAGGGTGGTCAGTTTTATTTTTCACTAATCTCACATGTTGCTAATTCTAGAAGTTCATGCCACCAGTCCAAAAGTTTTGCTATTAAAAATAATTTCATATGCAAATTTATTTTCTGCAGCATATTGTTTTGTGAAATATGCGACATACGTGGAAGCTGACAGGGCTATTAGGGCTTTGGATAATCAGTATGCTATTCCTGGGGTGAGTTGTTCAGTTGCTATTCATGGCGAATAAAAAGTTTTGCTGTTGTTGGTTAAGTTGTGAATTGATATTTAATGCCCTGTAAATTTTCTTTATTCAGGAAATGGTTCCAATCAAAGTCAGATTTGCTGATGGAGAACGGGAACGCCTAGGTTAGTATTTGATACTCTCATGATTTATGTTTTTCTACCGACCGTTTCCCAAACTCCTACACTTTTCCATCTGAGTGTGTTATGCTTCTGTTCAGCTCAACAGTAGGCTTTCTGATAAATAGTACTTGGATCTATTCCTGTACATGATTTAATTATTTTTGGTTAATTAACTCTCCAATCACCTGCAATTTTTTCAAATCAGGAGAGCTGAAGTAGAATTTTAAACAAATGTGAATCATCTTAATGATATTCTTTTTATGAGCATGCATTGGCTAAATGATATAGAATACTCTCCTTCTGGAGGAGTTTCCAAGTAGTTAATTTCTGCTGCAGATTTATGGATATGAGCACTAGTGCTTGATTTTTTTTCCCGAATGGTGTCAGTCTTACCTTAAAAATCAGAAGAAGTTCGGGTCCTTCTGGAAAGACTGGAATTTTATTTAGCTCAAGTGTGCTACTTCTTGAGGATGTTTGAGCTATGATGCTTTTCGAGGGCCATGATTATGAATGATTTGTTTACCTTGACTGGAACATGCTTTTAGGTAGCTACATGCAGCCTTCACACAAATAATAAATATCGTTTGAGATTTGCATCTTTTTCTCATTTTGCTTAAAAAGAAAAGTTTATCTGTTATATCCTTTTGTGTTCCACACTGGTAATATTCCATGCGCAGTGAGAATATTTCTTACTGGCTTCTGTCTTGCCAGCATGCCTTTCTGGGTCTTCGTGCACACACCTTTTTTCACCTTAAATGTGTTTTGTGTCTTTCTTATTAGTTGACATTGTTTTTTGTTTTCATTGCTCCATTGTTTTTTTCTCCACTGTTCCTTGGTAGGGGGACCCGTGGACAAAATCTATGTTGGTTCTGTAAACAAGCAGGCTTCAAGACAGGAAATTGAGGAGGTATGAACCAGAGTTGTTGGGCATTCAAGTTTATTCTGGCCTTACATTGATAAAATGAACTTTATTTGTCCTGCTAGTGTATTTTTCATATTAGACTGCAAGCAAATGTAACAAATGCAGAGTGCGTAAGCATTAGATTGAAAAGTAGTGTATGCAAATGGTTGTCATTGGTTTTAAATATTTTAAAAGTTAAAACAATGGCTGCAGCTTACATGCTGCTGTATGTGATTAAATGCAGTGCGGGTAACAGTATCTTTGTACTATTGGAGAGTGCATGTTGATGTAAGTAGATTACCTGAAAGTAAATATCTATCTGCTGCCGGAATGTGTGTACATGACTTTTTTCCAAAAATCAGTACATGACTTTTTCAAAACTCAGCTTTAAACACTATCTTTTCTTTTCTTGTGCTATGGTTATATATGGATGTTTACTATGTCAGATATTTTCTCCTTATGGTCATGTGGAAGATGTCTACATTGTACGTGATGAGCTGAAGCAAAGTCGTGGTATGTCCAATCTCTTTCATTCCTTGAGCTGTCTTATCTCTAGAATTATCTGTACAAATCGACACATCAGAATTTGATGTATGCTGTACTCTTTCATATTGACCCAGTAGTGTGATTTCCCCACAGATGTCCAGGGCTTTATCTATTGTCATGATAAACATACTGATCGCTGTTTTTTTATCTTTCTGGTTTGTATATATGTTATTTATTTGAAAAGTGAAATAAGGGGAAAAGCAAAAGGAAAGAACTTCTGGATAGTCTGATTGTAGGTGCAAGTATATACCAAGGTTGAATTGTTATAGCACTTGATCTGTTGAAGATCTCATTTGTAGTCCAGAAATTGTGCCATGAGCTCTGTGTTGCTCTCTTACTTGCTCGATTACATTTGTTTGTTATATTTGAAGATGTAGAGAAAATGGCAAATTTGTGTTGACTTTTAATTTGTGGGGTTCTGACACGATGATCTTCCGTTTTTTGAAGGATGTGCATTTGTTAAGTTTTCTCACAGAAATATGGCACTGGCAGCAATCAAAGCATTAAATGGAACTTTTACCATGAGAGTAAAGTGATTGATTACTTTTATATGTATCATGACTCTGATTGTATATGGAAATCGTTTTTGATCATCCTTTCTCTTTTCTTTGTCTTTTTAGGGGTGTGATCAGCCATTGATTGTTCGTTTTGCAGATCCCAAAAAACCTAAAACTGGAGAATTAAGGTTTTGCATCCTCTTGCCGTCCTTTTTACTTATGTTCATGCACATGTCTCCATGAACTTTTGGATCCATGCTAAAATACTCGTGTGTTCTGCAATCATAAAGTAAATGGTGATTATGCAAGAGATTGGTTTTATTTTGTTTGCTGTATGTGCTCTGTTCCTTTTCGAGTTAGCTGCCTGCGGTCTATGCTGATGAATCTTCAATCCCACACTGCAACAAAATAATTATACCTTTTTAATTGTTTTTTCTATTTCGGTATAAGTGGAGGACCACCCAGCCACCTGAACATTCATGTACTACTAGAAATGGATAGGACATCCTGGGTTACCTCAATGTCCTACTACTTCAACCAGTTTCCTCCTTTTCTCTATACAGAGGCAATTATGCATTTGGTGGTCCAAATTTTGGTCCCTGCTCTCAACAACCAATAATTAGGTGCATTTCATTTCTTCAATTTCTCTTTTCCTTCTGCATTTGCTTTGTTTTGAATACATGAGATTGAGTTTTTGCTTCATGGTTTATTTGCTGCAGGCCAGCACCCAACTTTGGTGATTCCATGGGAGGGTGTTTTGTGCCTGACGCTTCATTTTCTATGCAACAAATGTCAGCAACTGGAGTTCCACAAGCAGTTAACCATGCAGCTCCTCATATCACAGAGCAACCACTTTCTTCAGTAAAGCACTCACCTCCACAGTTGTCTCAGGTGTCATTACAGCATACACAAGCTCTACAGAAATGTTTTCAATCACCTCAACAAGCAGTTTTTGATAGACATAAACAGACTAAAAATTTAGAGCAGCAGCAGAGTACACAGATTATCCTGCAGGAGGTAGTTATCAATGTTTTTTTAGTTCTCATTTCAGTTACAATTCAAGTCATTTTGTTGCAAAAAGGATTTGTAAGTGATGAATTGGGTTTTCCTTTCAACTGGATGAGATTTGCATAAAACAATTTCTGTAGATGGGCTAACCAGTAGCAGAGGATACTCCTATGAGTCTGTAGTAGAATTACCTTGCTCTGTGCATTTATTGTTCTATCTAACAAGTACTAGAGGCATTTTCACCTTTGAATCTGTTTGCTTGTCTTTATATTTCTTTGAAATGGTTATTTTTAGAAATGCAACTGACTGTTGTCAACATTATGTTTTTCTGAAGCCAACTTGGACTGAAAGCACTCCTCAGGAAACTGGTCATGCTTCTGTTGCACCTGCAGTACCTCCCAGTCCCCAAATGGTGGATCCAGTAGAGTGTGACTGGAGTGAGCATTCCTGCCCAGATGGATACAAGTACTATTATAATTGTATCACCTGTGAAAGTAGAGTAAGTTATCTGCCTTTATTAACCAGAGTACATCTGCTCTCATCTTACTCAAAAAGTTCTACTGCAGAATGTGTCTATTTATTAGGTTGTACCTAAGGTTGGCAAAAGTCAATTCAAGTTACAAAACGAAACTTGACCTCACCCCATTACCCTAGCCTGGCTGGATCAAGGTTAGAAAATTGAATCCCGTTATAAACCAGTCAAGTTCGAGTTTGAGTGGTTGGACTGAATTTGTGGAGACAATACACAGAATTTAATTGATGACTGGTTTCTTTTTAGTCATGGAATCAATGAGGTCAGTTGACTTCGTGAAGTAATTACGTTTAACTGTAGGTATTGCTAATATTTTGCTCCAATGTAAGTTCGTCTGACTTTTTTCATAACCCCTTAAAAAAAAACTGGATGTTTTCATTTTGATTGATATACGGATTGTGTCTAACTCATCCAGTGCTGGTAATGGCCTTCTCAATTGGATTGCTTTATCTACAACCCAACCTTGAGCTTGATCTGAACCAAGTCGTTGATGATCACTAGTTGTAAATCATTTGGCAGTTAATGGAATCTAATCGCCTGTTCTGAGAAAAGAAAAGGTTGCAATTTCAGAAGATGTGACCAAGTATATCTGAAAATTGATGTGCAGTGGGAGAAGCCTGTGGAGTTCATCTTATTTCAGCAACAATTGCAGAAACAGCAAAAGCTGCACAGTTTGAATCAGCATCCTTCGCTTTCGCCAGCTTTTTTTGCTGAGGAAGTTGATCAAACACAAAAGGTGCTTCTTGAGATGCTTCTCTTGCATCAGAAACTCAAATCAATCATCCTTGTCTGTGCCCATCAGCAAACTGTTTTACTTGGGTTCTATGTTACTAGCACTCTTTTGCATTTTGGATTATTAACCACTAACCAGGCTTTTGCTGTTTATAGTCATGGAAATTCTAGAAATTTAACGTCTGTCAAGAGTGTTGCAAGAAATTGAATTGGAATGTCTACCCTCAATAAATAATGAACTGGAAAGTTGAGTTAACTTCAATTTTCAGGAGTAATACTCCTTGCTTTTGGTGTAGTATCTGTGTGTGTAAGTTGTATATTGTTATGGCATTTATTGCTATTGCCGAAGCTCTTGTATTAAGTATAGTCTCCATGAGAATACTAATGCAACTGCCAATTAATTCCTTTACATTTGCGAATGTTTGCAGTTGGACTGGGTTGTTTTCCATCTCTAAGGAAAGCCATCTCTCACTGGAAAAAAACTTCTTCTTTCTTTCATTTTTTTTATTGGCCCAATCAGAAAAATATTTTATTTTTCCTTCTGGGCTTTATCCCTGAGAAGTTTTTTATTTTGGCAAGTCAAAGCTAGAAGGCTTCCTATTATCTTTTCTCCTCATTAAACTAATGAATCGAAAGCTTGATGCTTAAAAGCCAATGTCTCTTGCTCTATCAGAAGACCGGGTTCTCAATTCTCCTAAGACCACCAGAATTCCTTTGATAGTTGGCAAAGATCAGTCATCAGAGTAATCACTCACGATTATGTTTATTTTGCATGTGGTTTTATCTATAAATCTTCTGTTTAAATTTACGAGTGTTGCAATTGTATCATAATTTGACAAATTAACCTTATAAAAGTAATTTGATTGACATTCATGTTGTAAAATTCACATGGCTTTCTCAATTGCTGGAATATTACTAGATTAGGTGGGATGATGTTTTTGATTAACCATACAATGTGATGAAAAATAGAGGTTCTGTCTTGGGCTCGAGTAAAGAAGTGTGTTTTCTCTTATGCTTTTATGCCAGCATGCATTACTGTATGCAAATACAGCTTCATATTAAAGCTTCTTGTGATAGTTATGTATTTGGATTCATTAACCACTGCTTGCGATTGAATTGATGTGGAGGATCTTTCTTCATTTCACTTTTCTTATTTTTGCAGGAACTGGATCGTGTGCAAATACAATCAGAAACAAGCCCTGTTGTTGATCCTACCAATGTTTAACAGGTATGCAGTGTTAAACTTCTATATACTTGATCTCTTTAGGATTTAGGGGCTATGTTTTTTTTGTTCTATGCAATTATTTCAGGAGATTTAGGTTGCTCAAAGTGGCTGTTTGAAGTTATTTCTTTGATTTTATCCATTCGTCTGAGTTCTTTCACCACTAATGTTGTCAGCCTGATTAGTATTTCTCATATTGGGAATTAGCTGCAAGCTTCATAATTCTTGCTTGGAAGGTCTTGGAGGTTCTGGAGTTGTGGCCTTTCTTTCATAGAACTGTGGACCTCTGGTAAGCCAATATATACTAGAAATGTTGGTCGCTTATAACATTTGATATTGGTCTATCTCTAATTTCGACTCAGCTGTCAGCTAGTGTCAGTAATAATATTTGAAAAATCCAAGAGCAATCAGCTGCATCTAATTTTATTCAGCATGCCCTTCCTATTTTTTTTCATTTTTTTTTTCCATAGAAGAACAAGAAGTAGAAATAAATCTAGTTTCAAATTTGGGCTGGATTGCTCATGGCTGCACACGTTCCTCTTGCAGACTAAATGCAAAAACATGTTTGGGGCGATCTTTTTCATTTTATTTTCCATTCATCTCTCTTGGATCATCTGTGGATGTGTACTTGTTCTAGAAATCAGGCATCCAAAGCAGCATTCATGTGGAGAACCTGTGAAGCACAGATGGCATGCAGTCTGTGTTGAATTATTCAGAGTAAATCTTCCAGGAATACATCATTTAGTTGTTTCTTGCCGAGTTTGTGGCTCATATTGGTGTGAAATGCATTGCTATTTGCCCTTGCCTAGATTTTGCTCCCTGGCTGCAGCATGGTACCCTTGTGAATCTCCACCAGAGTAGGTAGGTGTCATCAAGAGTAGTGTAATTTACTAGAAAATGTAAATTAAAGTGCTTTTTGTAACTGTACACCATTGCTGTATAAAATGACGAAATGACTTGATGACAAAAGTTATTTTGTGTATGCTTTGAAAGCTCTGGTAATTTACAGCTCTTTAGGGAAGGTTGAGGCGAGATGGTTTCTGAGAGTTTCTTGGACCATTGTAGAAGGCATTTCTTAATGTGACACTGAGGTGCTAATATAGATGCAGAATGTTGCAGAGACCAATGTTTTGCTTTCCAACAAGGACATCTAAGTTGTGCTCTGTCCCGTAAAGAAATCCCCTAGTTAGTGCAGTGTTCTGTACCTTGTTCTGCTCATAGGAATTGATTCATGCTTTGTCGACAGTTTGTGAGCCGCTGCTCAAGTTGCAGGGTGTAAATCGTTAGCCTCGATGGTATGTTAAAGTTGATTGGTGCTTTTTCGTGCACATATGCTCTTGATGCTTATCCGGTGCAAAGTATGAATTTTCACAAGCAGTGCATGAACGTGTATTTGGTGCAAGGTATTTTCTTCGAAGTAGCGTTGGAATTTTGGCATAGTTTTGGTTGCATCGAATTCTTAGTGCTGGTTGAGCGTGACTGATCTTTCTGCGGCCAACTGTTGTCCTAAGAGTGAATTATGATAAATTAATCAAGTAGTGATTATCTGTAATGGGCAGACGACAATTCTTTGTAAATGGTTCGGTGCGGCTGACTGCAATCCTGAACAATGAGCAACAGCTCATATAAGCCCCTCGTAGTTACGCCACATCGTTAAGGGATCCAGTAAGGAACCAAATATCACATGGCGAAGAAGCATAGAACCACAGAGTGATCATGGCATTTTCTCCATTGCTTTATTGAGCTCCTGATCCCCAGTTAGAATCAATGTAACGCAGTCTATATTCTTTCAACATGTGTGCGTACATTCCACTCTGCCAAGCAGTTTTACTTTTAGCTCACCAGTATTTAAGGAACAAACCATATGAATGGCCTGTGCATGAACATAACAATCAAAAGAAACAAATGAGCATTACTTAACAAGGCTAAGCGTGGGTGTGGACTGTGGACTCTGGAGTCTGGAGTGGTTAAGATATTCTTCCTCTATGCATCCCTCGGTTCATATGTAGCGACAGCACATTAATTTTTTTTTCCAAATTCTCACAATTGGATTCTCTTTTCTAAGAAAAACAAATAATTTTGCTAACTCCCAGACAAAAAGAAAAGCTAGAAAGCTTCTTTAGTAACCGTATCCTTATGAAGAAACCCTAGCACTCAAAAGTCTTCACTGAATCACTCTCTTGAAATCAATGCACATTCCGTCTACAACAAAAACAAATGGTACAGGACAAACGAGAAGGTAAGGAGCATTGAAGGAGAAGTTGATTCATTTTAGCTTATATAATTTTACTCCATATGGTAATCTATCTCTACATACAACCTAAGGGGGAGAGAAAAAGAAAAGAAGAAGAAAACTCACCCAAAAAAAAAAAAAGGCTAGAGAACTGAACCCAGCTAGTAAGAAGCCAGTCCTGAATAATGTCTAAAACCTCATAGAAGAAGTTTTGAGTGCTTCTGCAACTGCAAGAGAAATTACGGCCAGGAAGTCAACAAGACATCACATACTACGATACCATATCATCAGTGAAGGGGTCTTTCATCTACAACTCTTTTAGAAAAGTCAGTAAAAGGAAACTACAAAGCAGTGACATATAGTCTCTTCCTCTACTCTTCCTTTAGCATATGGGAGGGGACGAGATCTTGAAGAAGCCCACGATCCTTTAGTAAAGCAGACCCTGGGCTGCTGCAAAAGCGCTTCTCATATTGGAGATAACTACCAGAAGTTGTGGTACATCCATTGTAACCAAAACCCAAAGGTGACAAGCTATTGACAAAAGAAGGTTGTTGTTGATAGAGAGAGAGTCTCCTTTGCATTGGCATAGCAAAGGCAGCAGTGGAAGAGAAAATAGAATCAGATGCAGGTCCAGTAAAGTTTGGACGAGACATGACTGGGCTAGGATGGATGTGTTGGCCTTCATAAGTGGTCACAACTACGCTTGGATCACTGAAAGACCTCTCCACTCTCTTCTTCACATTACATGAGGCAGTGGTGCAACGATAGTAACTCCTAAATCAAACACACAAAGACAACGCAAACCCATTAAAATTTGGTCTAAAATTTATCAAAACCTGGAGTCAAATGGCGAAGTAAAAGAGCTAGAAGAATGAGTTCACATTGGAGTTAGTACCTAGGAAAGGGGCTATTTTTCACAGCTTTCTGGCCGTACTTTCTCCATCTGTACCCATCTTCCAGATGATCAACCTCGCTCTTTGTCATGAACGCGAATCTCGGCTCTCTCTGTCTCTTCTGACTTGTCTTCTTTGGTTTCAACCTGGAAACAAAGAAGAAAACCAACACAAATTAGAAGAGTGATATCGAGTTCTTATTCACACGCTAATTATCCACATAACACGAAAACCCATTTCTATTTTCTTGATTACTAGTATGAAAGGTGTTCTTAATTTGTAGCATTACACCAAAACAAACACAGCCGAAAAAAAGCATCTTTTTCCTCAAATGGGTATCTCCCAAACATAAAAATTAAAACCGAAAACAAGTACCATAATATACTGAAAACTCACTCTTTCTTCGTCTTTTCTTGCTCGTCTACCTCATCATCAACACCCTTATTAACAGGTTCATCATTCAAACCCTCGCTGGAAGCCGATGAAATCGATGAAGAGTTGGGTGTAGCAGGTTGATTCAACACCTCTGGTGGTGACTCCATAACTACTTGAACATTTGGAGCCTGTACAGATGGTATTGGTACCTGTACCATATCAAGCAAAGAAGGACTAAAGTCTTGCATACCCAGTAGCTCCATAAACCCTAGAGAGTTCTTATCTCCATCAACAAAGTCAAAAACATGACCCTGCATAAGTGGATAACTAGTTTGAATATGATCATTAGTAGCACTAAATGTTGGAGATCCAACAAAATTCTCAAGCTTTATAGCTTCTTTCTTCTCCATACTTCGAAATCAAAACACCAAAACCTTCATCAAAACAAAAGAAAAACAGCAGTGAGGAGGTTTCTCTTCTCTTCTGGAGACCGAGAGTAGTGTAGGGTAGGGTTGATCTGATTTTTATGTTAGGTGGGCAAGTGAGAGAGAGCTTTAGGTGTGAAAGAGAGCTAAAAATTTTGGGGTTGGAGAATATAATGGTGAGGTTTTTAGAGCTTTGGATGGATGAGTGAGATGGCAAAATAGAAGATGTTGACTGGCAATTGTGGGTCAAGTTTTTGTACGGATTTAAAACAAAACAGATCGTCAAATTCAATGCATGAGCTGAGCTCTAAATCCTACTAATATTGGCGGACCGACACCCAAAGTGTTCAGAGCTTTCATATGGAGATTTACTAACCACGCAAGCAGACATGAATCTAATAGATATATATTTACTAGTTTTATTTTTAATAAAATAATTTCGAATTTTTAATAATTTTAATTTATTTAATTGTTATGAAATGAAAGTTAATGATCCATTATTTAGTTTAAGTTCTGCAAACATTCCATGTATTTTTTTTATTTTTTATTTCATAAAGATCGACCTTAGCCGACTGGTAATGTGAACGAGATAGAGCAACCCGTGTGATGCTTACTCCTGTTAGCATATATGCATGTGAACGGGGATCGATAAATGAATCCTAAAAGCCCAAAAGATCCCCTTTCTTTTTCTTTATCCCTTTCTTTCTTCTTCTTCTCTTCTTTCTCGCTTTCTTTTTGGGAAAAAGAAGAACGGATGGAGTATTTCTTTTTGTTCGCTAGCGATCTCTTTGATTAGTACTATTTTATTGTTACGCTATAAAGGACTAAAGCCACCACCGCCATTATTATATAGAACATATCTGCATGTTTGCTTTAACTCTGGGTCGATCGAGGCAAGAAAATGGAGATATCAATGTTAATTGAGATTAACAATGTTTTGTTTAAATGATGGTGTGCCTTTTCTTTTTCTTTTTCTTTTTTAAATAAGTAACTTAAATAAAATTATTATTTTTTTAAAAAAAATATATATTTATGAATGTTCATGTTTTATTTAATATTGTGTTTTATGCATTTATTTTATAGTTTAATATAATTACCTGATAAAAAAATATTATTTTAAGTAATTGTGTTTTTTTCCATCAATGTATTAGATTGAAAAGATAATTAATATTTATAATTATACATATTTTTTACTTTTTTATCAGTATAATATTCATTGAGTTAAATCATAAAAAGATAACATGAATCATATTTTATCAAATTAATTAATTAACATGCAACCGTTGCTATAGCAATTAGACAGTAAAACTAAAATATCTTAGTTGATTGAAACAAAATTTTGATAATCAAAACTTCTGTAAAGAGAATTTTTTTAATGTAAATAATAATAATAATAATAATAATAAATCAGTATGTTGAAAGTCAGAGATCTTGATGAAACTTTTTTATTTTTTCGACGGTAAAAAAAATTAAAAAAAAAAAACTTAAATTGATCATCATAAAAAGTTCAGTATAAACGTTAATAGCCTCTTCATTGAAGGAATAAGAGTATTATGATGAAAATGGTATCCGTTGGTTGCATGCTTCCAAGCTAGAGTCGGTGATAGCGGCTGCTTTTTAATTCTTCCTGCATCGAATTATGAAAATCACCAAACAAAAGAGAAACAAAAAAGATAAGAATTCTCTTTTTGTTGAGAACTCTCGATCATCGGCAGCAACGTATGGAAAAGGTTGGTGCACGTGTGGTGAAAGGTGGAGCCATGAGAGGATCGCACGCTAACATAATTTGCGTGTACTTCCAACTCACCTCTGCATGCCTCAATTATTTGGTTTTCTCACTTTTCTTGGTAATAAAATATTTATTACCACAGCTATTTTAGCTTCTCCTCCTTGCAATTGTACTCGGTGACCAGACAGGTTAATATATCCAATTAATTGGTCTTTTCAACTTTCGAAGTCATTCCTGGAGTCTTTTAAATTCACTAATTGCTTCTTCTTTTTTTTTTTTTTTTCCTGACAAATTAGATGTATGTATTCATCCATTAATTAGTTTGTCAATAACAATGTAGTTAGCTTTTTTTTTTAAAAAAAAAATAAACCTTTACAATTGTCACTTGTACTATATATATAAATTAACACTTTAGAGGACGACCATTAATTTCCACAATACAAATAAAAAAATGAAAAAGAAAAATTAACAGCACGAGAACACTCAGCAGTTACCTACTAAATAAATTATAAACTAGAATGGTTTAAGTTAAATTACTTTTAATAGAAGATTTCCGGCTTAGAATTATTGTTGAACATAGATGATTAGTTTAATAAATTTTAATTTTTTGGAATATTCTCCAAAAATAAAAAATAAACTTTTACTTTCGGCTTGTTGAAAGATCTAAACATGTTTTAGATTAACTTTACTATAAATTCTAAATATCCATTTCATTTTTCTTTCTGCTCAAGAATATATGGGTGTGAGATTTCTAAATAAATATATGCAATGCAATGGAGATTAGGTGCGTCACTTACCAAACATTTTTTTAACGAACATAAAATATTAACTAAATTATTTTTCTCAATTTCTTAAGAATAATTTAAAAAGAAAACTAAATCATTTACGATTGCAATAGATACTGTGTATTAATTGCATACCTATCCAAATGGATACCATCATATAAAATTCATCAACTTAATTATAGCCTAAACACACTCAATGCCAGCATAAGAAGCTAATTAACGAACTTATCCACAGGTTTCTAACAAACCCTGTATGGATTATTGCTATAGCCTTTTCATTGAATGAAAAGACATGACGAGAGTTAGGGGAACAAATGAAAGTTTTTTTTTGTCGAGTGCATGTAATCCAAACCAAAAAGATTACCATAATCCACAAAATCTTTCCTTCTTTTCTATGTTTATTTTGCAACCAAATTAGGCCACGATACACGGCCGGGTGTCCCTGTAATCTTTCCTCGGGCCGTTGGGCCTTTCTTTATCGTACACGAGTTTCTCTTTTGGGCTGTTTTAGTGGGTCCTACAAAATCCACAAGCACGATTCCCGCGTTTAATCCATCGGTTCATCACCAGCACACCCCTTATTTGTGCCGCAGAGTTTGGGTTTCATCACCGTCAAAATGAGAATCAGGTGTACATCTATACCCTTCTTTGCTACAAACAAAATGTAAAATTATATACCCCTTCAAAAATTCACGCTGTGATTTTGTTTTAAATATATAAATTTTTTTTAAAAGAATGGAAAAAAATATAAATAATAAAATTATTTGTAAATAATTAATATTAAATTTTCATACAAATTGATCAATTAATTTATAAATGACAAATAATTTGCTAAAAATAACATAAAAAAAATTACTATAAAATCATCATTAATTCAAGTTAGGAGAAGCTATTTTTCAAAAGGGGCAAAAAAAGGATTAGAAGAAACCACACTTATCGGTACATGAATCAGGCAGGGCTACACGTTTTCTGTATTTTTAAACATTTAAACTACGTACAGCGTATTGTTATGCAATTTTTTGTGGTTACCTGGAGGGCACTAATCGGAGAGGGTTGGCCACCTTTATCACGGTTGTAGATATTCAGAGGATATTATATATATTTAATTAAACATGACCTTCAAGATGTTTTTTTAATTCTCTACAATAATCGATGCTCATATCACATGTCAGTGGACGTTAAATTAATTAGAGGTAAACTCACTGAAATATACCCACGATTTTATTATATTCTAAAATCACATACACTATCCTCATATCCTTTAAAAAGGTAAAGAAAAGAAATTAAAAATATTCAAGTGGAGCTAAAAAAAATACGAGACAGAGAAATAACAGGCGAGTGTTTTGACCAGTGTTGCTTCTTGGATACGTTTTTGGAGCTCAAAAAAAGACAAAGAATACCCAAAATTAAATATTCCAATGAAGTGATAGTATTTGTTTTGTTGTGCGAAGTCACCATCCAAACTTTCTTTCTTTCTCTACCAGTCTTCAGCCTAGTTAGGTTTTGGACACAGAGCCCAATAACAATATTTGACAATTGCGCCAGTCTCCGCTGCTTGTCGCTACCGTTCAAGCTTATCCTGTTCATCTTGGTCAAATCTTTGATTATTCTTATGTTTTTGTTAAATTAATCGGAGATTTTCTCCATTTTTTAAAAAAAATTGGAGATATAGGTTTTTTTTTTTTTTTTTTTCATATGAAAAGAGAGAAAATGATTGTCCACATGGATCGGACAAAAATCCATGTCCATCATACGATGGGACTTAGATTGCAACTTTCACGTGGATCTCATAATTTTAACAGCCAAGTTCTTCGAATCCTGCATTCGGCTCCTTTTTTACACAATCTTTTCTGATTCTTATTAATTAGTGGTGTTTTTCTCATAAAGATCTTTAATTTTAACCAGTATTTGTGGGTTTAATTATAAAAAATTACAAAAATCTCACAAAAAGCCTGCTTCTAGCATCGCTCCAATTTTCTCCATCGCAACAAGGGCAGCTTCTTGAAATGCGAGTTTCTCATATCCTTCGCTTCAATTTATTTAGTTTTTTTAACGAATCTATGCACCCACCCAATCGTTGCTTTAATTTAAATCAACCAACTTGATGCTATCCCTTCCATGTCAAACAAATGTTCACAAATCTCTTTTCCTGCAACAGAGGGTAGAGCTTCTGGAAGTTTGACATAATTGAGGCACTTTCTTTTATACTATTATATATATCTAAGCTCGTGAATGATTAACTTTTTAGCCTAATAATCCCTTGTGAATCATCAATCTTGGACTGATTAGGATTTTTCAAAACAAAGTTGGGATGAGAGCTGCACATGGGGGAGTCAAAGGAAGAACCCTAGGTTTGAGCATGTTCAACAACATGACATTTATATATAATTGTTAGAGGACTATGGAATTGGTCAAATATATATAAAATAGAAGAAGGGTCCAGATTTAATGCTTGTGGCAATCTTATTGGG